CCCCCTCCTTGTGCCTGCCAAGCCTTGACCCCTCCCTGGAGGAGGGTCAAGTCAGCCCGCCAAAATCTTGTCCACGCCTTCAGTCTATTTAAACTGCTCCCTCCGCCCCCCAAAGGTCCCTAATGGTCTCTTTCCTCTCACCCTGATGGTCACATTCGCCTCTTCCGGGTTCCCCCTCGGATACACCCGAGCGCAGGAATCCCATTAAACCTGGATATTTTTTAATTTGGCTTGTGATTTGGCTTGATTGGGAATTTTTGCATCGGCAGAGAGCTTGTGTTAGGAAAATTCCTAACAGTTAGATTTCAATCTCCGTCATGAATTGACTAGAGATTTCCCTTGGATACAAGAAGGGAGGAGGCATACCTTGTAGGTACCATAATTCTACCATAAGTCTTTGAAGCAAGGACAATCTATGCTATCCTAAGAATTAAGTTTGAGCATATAGCTGGCCCCAAAGATACTGAGATCCGAGGTTGAGAAGGTGATGGATACTGGATTGAAGCCAGCCAGTCATTAAGTTAAAAACTCAAGTCCTATGTTTTATCTTTCTGAAAATGTGGCACGTTTCTTAAAAAGAAATAATAAAAATTCAATTCTATAAGGTTTTGTAATTTGAGTGCTTGCCATTAACAGCCTCAGGGTTTCAAAAATGATAAATGCTTGGAATCTTTTGAACGTGTTTTAGATTACTGCATGTGACTCTCAGGTCTTTACTAGCAAGCCAATGTGCACATTATGTGTTACATAGATTATTATCTCCAGAAGATTATAGGTCCAGTAAACTTGCTGAAAGAATATCTCACAATTATCATGACTGAATGCACATATTAGCCACATGTAATTACTGTAGATGATGAAGCAAAACACGCCTGATGGTGAACGCTGATGGCTGTCGAAGTTTTGTTTGAATGGAGTAAATTTGAGGACCAAGTTTTCTCCTTAGAAAAGAATGAGCATGATCAAATGCACATAGTGAGGCTGTAAAGCGGCAGGGTCAACATCTTTCATAGTGAGAGGATTAAAGGAAATAAAGTCAGTTTTAAATGTTCTCTTAATAAATAAACCTGGGTGATAAGAAGGAGCTCTGGGATGATCTGGGGAGACAAAAAGGGGAATTTAGGATGTTCAGCTGGGGAAATAAAATCTTTGAAGCTGAAATAGATTCTCAGGACCACTACAGCCAATTAAGTCTTTCTCTTGTTTTCTGTTAGGTAACCCTAGGAGTTGGGTGTGGGAGTAATTAGAGTCGCTTTGAGAGACCCAATGGAACACGTCCAGTGCTCCAGTTAAAAAGAATTCTTTTTGAGTCTGTAGACTAAGTTAACTTGGATCTCATTATGTAGCTCAGCTGTCCTCAGGCTTCTGACTCTTCTGACCCTGCATCTCAATAGAATGTATTTTTTTCAATCCTGGGGATAATTATTTTTCTTTTTTTTTATTAAAAATTTCTGCCTCCTCCCTGCCTCCCTTCCCCCCCCTCCACTTCCCACTCTCCACTCCCCTCTCCCTCCCTCTCCAATCCAAAGAGCAGTCAGGGTTCCCTGCCCTGTGGGAAGTCCAAGGTCCTCCCCCCTCCATCCAGGTCTAGGAAGGTGAGCATCTAAACAGACTAGGTTCCCACAAAGCCAGTACATGCAGTAGGGTCAAAACCCAGTGCAATTGTCCTTGGCTTCTCAGCAGCCCTCATTGTCCTCCTGGGGATAATGTTGATGGAATATAAATCAATGGAAACCCAGAAAACCCAATGCACTTTCGCAAGACCTCAAGAAAGTGAAGTGAAGGAAGAGCCCGGAACCGCTACTTCATTCCTGCATATGTATCTCCTGGAACAGTGTTTTGCACAGATCATGAGCTCAATAAGTATTTATTGACTGAATGGTAAATGAATGAACCCTTTCAGGATTGTTTTTATGGTATCATAGAACCTCTGAATTCTGAAGCTTGAGAAACACCTTGTTTTGCTTTGTGATATTTTAACTGGTGCTACGTATAAAAATATAATGCCAAAATCATTAGATTTTTCCAGCTAAATTATTCCAGCTAAATCTTACTCTTAACAGATCTTTCTTTCAGTTCTTGACTTGCATCATAATGATTTTTTTTTCTGCAGATGTTGCTCCCCTGCATTATTTGAAGGTTGTAAGACTTTTGCTAGGTAGAATCTGATAATTATGCAACAAAAAATAAAGCAGCCAAGCAAGACCTGTTTGCACAATTGCTAAGAATAAAGATGGTAATACAGGAGCTGTTCTAGCAATGGGTCACAACTCTACCTTATATAATGTATTCCTGTCCAGGGCTGTCATAATGAAGTACCACAGAGACTTAACTAAATTTATTTTTTCTGAGTCCATAAGGCTTGAAGACCAAGACCCAGATGTAAACCAGATTGACTATGAGGGTTATAAGGAAAGGGTCTATTCATACCTTGGTTGACCTTCTTTTTGTGTTTTCATATCTCTCTACTACTGTTTGTGCCTGTGTTCAAGTTTTTGTATTGTGAGGAGAGCAATCATATCAGATTAGAACCCAAACTAAAATCCTCATTTTAATTACCTCTTTAAATATAACATCTCCAAATAAGGGCACATCTCAAGTTACTAGATGTTTAGAATTCAACATATAAACCAGAGAGAGAGAGAGAGAGAGAGAGAGAGAGAGAGAGAGAGAGAGAGAGAGAGAGAGAGAGATATGTGGAGAGCCACTCTTTATCACATTATATTAAACTCTTGTATGGCATTTTCCTCTGAGTTGAAGCTTTTCCTCCAGGAAGGAACAAGAGGTTTATGAACCTCAGAAGGTTTAAAAGAAAAAAATGCTCTCCACCACTCTTGAAAAACAGAAACATGGAAGACTCTTGAGGAGCCATGGTATAAAAGCAAGCATATTCTCCCAGTATTATAAAAAGAAGTAAGCACTTGTTGGGGAAAGAGACTGGCCAGCAGAACTAACTGCAGAGAGAAGACATTGTTGGACTGCCCATGAGCCTGCCTGCTAGCTATGTTGAGAGCCCCAGAGTCGTGGTTCGGTGAGTCTTTTTACAAGTCGGGGAAAGGATTCTTAATGGTGTAGCTGCTTTTGGGTCACCTCTTCTTTTACTAAGCTACTCCTCACCCAGATCCCTGTTAGTAACCTCCTAAAAACCCACTAGCTCATCAAGTTTGACATTGGTGCAACTCTTTCTTTGATCAGTTCCAGTTCTGGGATGAAATGATGAATTGTACCACCCCAGGAAAAGTCTGTCACACAAAAATTCTCCATCCTATTTCCCAGTAGCAGTTGAAACAATGTTACTAGAACTTCTAGTTTGAAGTTAAGCATGCAACTGCCCAATAACATCAAGGTCCTGCCCAGACAGGTACAGCACTGGGCTGTGACAAGATGGTTGGCCTCCAAGTTTGTCTGCCACTTTGCTAAGAGTAGCTAGGGAGTGGGGCTTTACCAACACACTTGTCAAAAAAGAACATCAATAAAAATTGAAGAAACAATAGTTTCTTCTGTGGAAACCAGTTTTCCTCATTTGTAAAATGCTGTAGGGGTCTGAATGGCTTCAATCTCTGTTGAACTGTAGCTTGACTGATGAGTGTCATAATCTGAACCTGGGGATTTATAAGAGGAATCTTCATGAGGATCCTAGCAAAACTGATGAATTTCTTCTGGGGCTTCTGCAAAGAACTTAAGAAGCAAAAAACATATGTGGGGAAAATGTAGTTAGAAATAGTTTGAAAGAGCAAAAGGATTTCCTTTATCTTTGTTTCTGATGAACATCTTCCAGTTGTGTGAAAGTGTGAGAGTCTGTACTCCTTACAGTCAAGGGCCTCCTTATTCAACCAGATGATACTCAGGAGCCACAGGCTTAGCTTCCTTAGCTTTTAGCATTGGCTGATGTGTTAACTATAGCTTTAGGACAATTTCCAAGAGTCTCACAATTAAAAAGAGTGATATTCTTTTTCCTTTTCTTTATTTCTTTCTTTTTAAAACTAAGATAGGCTTTCTTTGTGTATCCCTAGCTGTCCTGGAACTTACTCTGTAGACCAGGCTGGCCTCGAACTCAGATATCCTCATGCCTTTGCCTCCTGAGTGCTGGGATTAAAGGCGGGCACCACTGGATGCCTGGCTGTGATATTCTTGATAAGGTCCTTTAGAATTTTTCCCTAATAACTCAACAAAATAATACAGTTCAGCAGGTAGCACAGGGGTGTCTGCATTGTGAGATGGCAATGTGACATTTGTATTAATTACTATTTAGAATTTTCTGATTCAGGCACCTCATGAACTATGTTGCTCAAATCCCTGGGTCACTAATTGGGTCTACAGAGCTCAGAAATTTTAGGCAATGTTCCATCACTGGCTTAGACACAAAGTAGCTGCTCCACTTAAGAAGGAAATAGTAACAGACACTGGAAGTGCCATATTTGTTGTGAGCAGTGTGAGTCACTGCAGGAAGGGGTATGGAAAAAGGCAGCATCAAGAAGAAAACTCCTGGAGAGTCTATGTTGTATTGCAAATGCATGAAGGGTCCCCTTAACTTCATGCAACACTCACAGAAGGCAGGTGTTTTCAGGATTTTGAGTAGGTTCTTTCTAAACCAACATGTACAAAGTAGTAATATTCTCAAATCCAACAAAACTTGGGGCAATGGAGCAGAACTCTACATATGACAGCAGTTTTAAATTGGAGGTGTTTGAGAAACACCTTACTTCTGCTTTGTAAGACTTTCAGTGGTGCTAAGCATAAAAATATAATGCCAAATTCTAATACTTTTTGTCCAAGTCTTATTCTTAAATAATATAGGAGTCTCCTTATTTGGGAAAAATTGAAGATTCTCTCCACCTTTTTTTTCATATTTGGATATAGCTGATAGTAAAAATACCATGTGATTAGAAATATAAGCATTTCCAGATTAGACATGCAGTATGGTAAGCACATAATTAAAACAGACAAGGATAATTATTTGCCAAACATTTATTGATTTTTTTTAACAGACCAATTGTTTCAACAAGAATGTCTTTAAGGTAGTATAAAGCCTCAAATGACTGTGGGCTGATAAGTCTAGTTAAGAGACTTCTATAAATTTGCCCTCTGTTCATACATCTTCCCCTTTCCTTCTTCCATCACCTTGTGAACTCTTGATGGACCCAAACAAGAAAGATGTTTACAGGGTCTTGAGTAGGTTCCCACTAAACCAACATGTACAAAAGTAGTAATATTCTCAAACCCAACAAAACTTGGGGAAGTGGAACAGAACTCTACAAATCACAGCAGTTTTAAATTGGAGTTGTTTGAGAAACACCTTGCTTTTGCTTCATGAAATTTTAAGTGGTGCTAAGTATAAAAATATAATGCCAAAAAATAATTTCCTGTGCAAGTCTTTCTCGTAAGAGAGATTTCTTTCAGTTATGAACTGATTTCACATAATATTTTTCACATAAATCACCCCCTGCGTTATTTGAGGGTTGTCAAAATTATGCAAAAAAAATCGACAAAACTGTTTGGAGATAAAGACAAATGAGATTTAGGTCGAAGAAAATGTCAACTTAAACTTATAAAAATGAGGGTTCCCAACATGATCTACCACTAAAAATAGAGGCTCAACTATTTTGAATATCAAATTGTTACATTATTCTTGTTAGTTATGAAGGCAATAAATCAATGTGCTCCTCAAACAAAATTCCTTTAAAAAATTAAATGACTTCTTTTGAAAAGTGCGCACCACATCTGCACTAAATAACAAAGACATCTTGCAATAAAGAACTACCCCAGACAGAATGAGAGACAGGAACAGAAAGAAATGAAATGGGTATAGTTTAAGATTCTGGAAAAGACATTCTAAGATCAGAGAGTTTTCCCACAACCAGAAACACGTGAGTTATCATTTGATACCCAGTATTTCTCATTTTCTTTTGATTGAAAAAGAAACATTTCTTTGGCTGGTGCCAGGACGCTAGCAGCATCCTTTAAGGGCGGTATTGAGACCTCTGCTCTTGGATGTACTCATAGAGAGGGCTGGAACGCACGGGGACATTGGCAAACTGGCGCGTGCCGGTCTCCAAGGCTTGGCGGCGCCTCTCCTCCTCCTGCCTACGGATCCGCTCCTCTTGAAATTTCCTCTCCCGCTCTTGGCGACGTCTTCGTTCCTCTTCCTGACGACGTTCTTGTTCCTGACGACGACGAATCGTATCCCTGGCAAACTGATCTTCAGCCTGGTACTGCCCATCTCGTTTCTGCCTCCTCAACTGCAGTTCTTCACGTTCCTGGCGCTGCTACTTCTCCTCCCGGAATTCCCTGTCGCGCTCTTGGCGAAGCTGTTGCTCGCGTTCCTGGTGGCGACGCTGCTGTTCCTCAAAGCGAAGCTGTTCTTCCTCGAGTTCCTGGCGGCGCCGCTGACGCCCCTCCCTTTCATTCCGGAGCTCTGGTTCCCCGCGGAATCTCTGGTCGCGCTCCAGACGGCGCTCTTCTTCCTCACGGAATTTCCTGTCACGTACCTGGCGTCTCAGCTGCTCTTCCTGGAGTTCCTGGCGGAGCTCTTCTTCCTCACGGAGTTTTCTGTCGCGCCTGAGCTCTTCTTCCCTGCGGAACTTTCTGTCACGTTCCTGTCCGCGCTGCCGCTCTGCCTCGCGCTCCCTGCGAAGCTGCTCCTCCACCCTCAGCTTTCGGTCTTGTAGCTGCTCTTCCTCCAGTTCCTGCAGGCGCTCTTCTTCCCTGCGGAGTTTCCTCTCACGCTCCTGGCGTCTCAGCTGCTCTTCCTCCAGTTCCTGCAGGCGCTCTTCTTCCAGGCGAAGTTTTCTGTCACGCCTGAGCTCTTGTTCCCGGGGGAACTTCCTGTCCTGCAACTGCTCTTCCTCGAGCTCCTGCAGGCGCTCTTGATCCCGGCGGAGTTTCCTGTCCCGTTCCTGTCGTCTCAGCTGCTCTTCCTCGAGCTCCTGCAGGCGCTCTTCTTCCCTGCGGACTTTCCTGTCTCGTTGCTGACGGAGCTGCTCTTCCTCCCGGAGCTGCTCCTCTTCACGCCGCTGCTGGCGGCGCTCTTGTTCCTGGCGGAATCTTCTGTCCTCACGCTCAGGTCGCCTCAGCTGCTCTTCCTCGAGCTCCTGCAGGCGCTCTTGATCCCGGCGGAGTTTCCTGTCTCGCTCCTGGCGTCTCAGCTGCTCTTCCTCGAGCTCCTGCAGGCGCTCTTCTTCCCTGCGGACTTTCCTGTCTCGTTGCTGACGGAGCTGCTCTTCCTCCCGGAGCTGCTCCTCTTCACGCCGCTGCTGGCGGCGCTCTTGTTCCTGGCGGAATCTTCTGTCCTCACGCTCAGGTCGCCTCAGCTGCTCTTCCTCGAGCTCCTGCAGGCGCTCTTGATCCCGGCGGAGTTTCCTGTCTCGCTCCTGTCGTCTCAGCTGCTCTTCCTCGAGCTCCTGCAGGCGCTCTTCTTCCCTGCGGACTTTCCTGTCTCGTTGCTGACGGAGCTGCTCTTCCTCCCGGAGCTGCTCCTCTTCACGCCGCTGCTGGCGGCGCTCTTGTTCCTGGCGGAATCTTCTGTCCTCACGCTCAGGTCGCCTCAGCTGCTCTTCCTCGAGCTCCTGCAGGCGCTCTTGATCCCGGCGGAGTTTCCTGTCTCGCTCCTGGCGTCTCAGCTGCTCTTCCTCGAGCTCCTGCAGGCGCTCTTCTTCCCTGCGGACTTTCCTGTCTCGTTGCTGACGGAGCTGCTCTTCCTCCTGGAGCTGCTCCTCCTCACGCCGCTGCTGGAGGCGCTCTTGTTCCTCACGGGATTTTCTGTCGCGCTCCTGCCTAAGTTCTTGGCGGCGCAGCTCCTCCTCCTGGAACTGTCTCTCTTCTCGTCTTTGCCTCAGTTCTTCCCGCTCCTTCCGCAGTTGCCTTTCCTCCTCAAGGAACTTTCTGTCCCTCTCCTGTGGCCGTCTCCTCGAGTCTCTCAGGAGCTGCTCTTCCTCCCGGAGCCTCTCGCCTCGTCGTGCGGCTTCCCGTTGGCGCTCTCGCCGCAGCTGCTCTTCCTCTAGGAACTGCCGGTCACGCTGCTGTCGCCGCCGCCTCTCCTGCTCCAGCTCTCGCTTCTCTTCTGCTTCGTCTTGCAGAGGCCGCCGATCCTGACGTGAGCGTCTCTCATGCTCCAGAGAATCCTCCAGCTGCCGGATCTGTTCTCCATCCTCCCTGCGTTTGGAGAAGAGCCTGCGGCCACGAGCTTCACTTTCTCTCTCTGGTAGCCACTGCCACTTCAGATCCCTACGCTGACCTTCGTCCCGCAGCCTCTGCAGGTCCTCCTCTTGATACTGCCTCTCCTGCTGCAGGCGCCTCCTTTCTCTCCGTAGCCGCCCTTCCTCCTGCTGCAGCCGCTCTTCCTCCTGCTGCAGGTCCTCCTCTTGATACTGCCTCTCTTGCTGCAGGCGCCTCCTTTCCCTAAGCAGCTGCTCTTCGTCTCGCTGCAGCTGCTCTTCGTCCCGCTGCAGCTGCTCTTCCTCGCGCTGCAAGTCGTTCTCCCTGCGATCCTGCCTCTCCTGCTGCAGGCGCCTCCTTTCCTTCCGCAGCCGTTCTTCCTGCTGCTGCAGCCGCTCTTCCTCCCGTTGCAGCTGCTCTTCCTCGCGCTGCACGTCGTTCTCCTTGCGATACTGCCTCTCCTGCTGCAGGCGCCTCCTTTCCTTCTGCAGCCGTTCTTCCTCCCGCTGCAGCTGCTCTTCCTCTCGCCGCAGCTGTTCCTCCTCCTGCCGCAGCTGCTTCTCTTCCTGCTGCAGCCGCTCTTCCTCCTGGCGGTATTTCCTGTCCCGCTGCCGGCGCTGCTGAGCCTCTTCTTGCAGCAGCCGCTCCTCCCGCAGCACTTCCTCCCTCTGCGTGCGGCGCCTCTGGCTTTCTTCCTGCAGTTGCCTGCGATCGGCCTGACGACGCCTCTGGCGTTCCTCTAGGAGGCTGTCCTGGAGCTCTGCTCGCTGCTGCTCCTCCTCCCGGAAGCGCTGCTCCTCCACCTGGCGCCTCTGCTGCTGCTGCTCCAGGCGTTCCTCCTCCTCCTGGGTGCGCTGCAGTCGGAGCTCCCGGGACCGTTGCTCCTGCTCCCGGAGCTGACGCTCTTCCGGCTCCTGTCTGCGCGGCCTGGCGTAGACTTTGTTCTGACGGGCTTCGGCCTCGCTTTCGAGCTGCCTCTGCAACCTCCGGGTGAGAGTCTGGGGCTCCCGGAGTTGCGTCTGCTCCTCATCCTCCTCAGCCACCAACTCCTGCTCGCGCCTCAGCTCGGGGTCGCGCAGCTGCTGCAGCCGTCTCTCTTCCCTCTGCTCCCTGCTCCTGAGCTCTTGCCTTTGCTGTTCCTCTTCCTCGGAAAACTCTTCAGCATCAGGACCCTGGCTCCAGCTTAGCGGCTCTTTCTCCGCCAGGCGCTCCTCCAGTTCCTGCAGTTCTCGCCTCTGCTGTCGCTCCTCCAGTCTCTCCTGCCTCCTGCTCTGCTCCTCAGCGCGCTCCTCCTGCTCACGTCTTTTCTGCCAGCTTCGGCGCCCGGGTTCTTCGTCCCGTTGTACGTCCCGGGGCTCGAATCTCCTTTGGTCTTCTTGCCTGCGATCTTGTGACAGGCTTCTCTTCTCATCTAGCCCTACGGCCTGATTGATAGCGGAATAGCAAGCTTGAGCAAGCTTGAAAAGGAACAGGAGGAATTCGTTGAAATCAACACGCCCGTTGGAGTCCCGATCCAGAAGTTCTAGGATCACATCTACCGTCTCAGGGTCATGTGGTCTCTATGAAAGATTAAAGCAAAGGTTTTATAATTAATTATTTACACCTAGTAAGCTTTCACTCTCACACTTATTTATGCTGTGCTGAGATCAGGAGATAGTGTAATTAGAAAATGCTTAGTGTATGTGTTCTTGCTTTCTCATACGATATGTGGACAACTCATGTCAAAGCATACACCGTTGGAAATTTTTGTAATTGTTTGCTGATCAAAACCACAATTTTTTTCTAGATAGCTGAATAAGATGAATTTGTCCTTTGTGATCAATAAAATAAAATTTATGAAGATTTCCAAAGGACATTTTTGTTTGAAAAAGCCAATACTCCTGATTTAATTTCTATTCGGTGTTGGAAGAACTAAGATATTTACAGCGACACCATTTTAGTCGAGAAACAGGCAGATTTCAGTTACTGAAAGTTGGGAGCAGAAAAGTTCCTTCAAGTCTATTAACTTGATTAGGCACCATTAGTGGTAATGCCCTATTAATTAACACTTCATTCCCATTAACAATATCATCAAGTCTATTAAATACATGCTATTAACTTCTTTAGTACTCAGATTACAACACCAATTTAAATACCTCAGGCTTTAAAATGAATCATGATGTAATGTAGACCTGTTATGTTGAAAAATCCATTTTAATCAATATTCTTTGCTCTGGTCTTTCTCGGGAAGAAAAGTGATAGCCCCACATCCATAGATTTCCTTTTCTGGTAAGGTCTTACCTGGAGGACATCTCCAAGTTCCCTTTCAAGGAGGTTCTTCAGGTCTTTCTTGCTCAGTGATGCTCCTTCACAGCTATGTGTGGCATAATGATCGAAAACTTCAGCGATGTCAATAACGCTTCTTAGAAGTGGAGACATGTTTTCTTTCCTTCAAATTCAAGTAAACCTAGAACAGTAAGAGACGATTCGGAATCAAGCCTCTGCTGATTTTAGGGAGACTTCACTCACACTGATTTAGACAGCTCTCTAGTCTTTCCACTAGTGGTTGTGATATCAACTTTCATTATACCCCTCAATATTGTATTCTAAAGGAGGAAGAGAAACATTGAAAAATTCTAAGCCAAGGAAATCATCTTCAAAGCATATTACAGTCAACTTTTCATTGACCATCAGTGTGAACTATCCACATCCTCCCCCCTTTTTTGTTTTGACATATTTCAGAGCAGATAATGAAAAGATGAGGGTAAGAATCTAAATTCTATATGCTGCTACTCATAGCAACCCCTAAAGCTGAGCAAAAAGGGTAGGTAAAAGCCAAGGAGTATGTGAAAGAAGGGCTTGAGCATCATTAAAAGTAAATATGTATAGACAATTGTGTCTGAAAAAACCTAGCAACAAACAGAACAGTGAAAAGAAGATGTGAATTATTCCTTAAATGCATAGCCCATAGGAGACTACTTCATGTCATCAATTCTAAGATTACAGAGTGCTTCCTCATCAAAATAAAACATTGTAACATTTAGATACAGCAAGGCAGAAAAGCAGAATGCAAGTTGCCTGCATCAACTTAGATGTACTATGGGTGTTCATATCTTCTGTTACTGAAGTTATTTGAGAGATCCTGATTGATGAATCAGAGTCAATGTGTAAAACAAACCTGGAGAACTTTGAATAATCTTGGTCTTAAGGCTGACATTGGTTAAATGTAAATAAATCATTTCAATGTTGGTATTGTAAGTGGGAGGGGGACTCTGGGAACGTAGCCCAGTAGTAGAGTGGGTATTAGTATGTGTAAAATAATGTGTTTAATTTTCAGTATTGCCAAGACAAAGCAAAACACATGGCCACAGCAAAATCTTGTCCACTGACACACTGGTGTTAAAAGAATACTCGAATGGCTTTGCTGGCTGACTGCATAGTAGGTCACTTGGCTGAGTTCTTTATCATCATCTGTCTCCAACACCTCACATACCAACTCAGATGTGAACGGTATGAAGATCCCAGTGTCATAAAAAAGAGATCGGGGGTTTGCATACTCTAGGGATGATCGTTTTTTTAGAAAGGTGAGCCTCATAAGAGGCACACATGATAGTTTTTGATGTGCGTAAGTATTGGGTTCAGAGTCTTGAGAGAACTACTGCTATTCAAGTGATGGCTATAACCATAAAAAGATGGGACAAGCTGGGGAGCATGCTGGCTCGCCAGAGGCAGAGGTAGGCTACTTTCTGTGAGTTCGAGACCAGCCTACACTACATAGTCTAGGCTAGGCAGGGCTAAACAGTGAGACCTCGTCAAAAAAAGAAGAAAGGGAAGGAGGAGATGGAATAGGTGAGATTTCGCCAACACTGAAAGGCAGAGATCCCTCCGGAGCATAGAAACTACCTTCAACATGTACTACCACAGCTAGAAAGTGAAGAATCAAATAGAAGAACGCCATCCACCAGAACAGGACTTACCCACTTCACCAGAGGAAGAAGTCAAGTGCTTGCTCGCTGACACTGCTGGCAAGTGTGCTAGCTAACTGGGAGCCAGGCCTTTTATAGGGGTTGTAATTGTGCCCTGGGGAGCAACTTAGGAAGGAGACACCCACTCTGTGGGGCAACCTGATTCATTCAAATCCCAGCTCCACCTCTGTCTCCAGGAATGGCTTGTTTATCTCATTATTTGCTCACGTAGCTATTTGGACAGCGTTCACAGGACTTGCCTCCTGACTGCATACTGGCCCCACCTAACACGAAAAGGTAGACTATTTGGCAGATTTTCTAATTTTCTTTCATGGTTAAAATAAAAAAAAAAAAAACATTAAAACAAAGGCGATGAATGTTCCGAATTATTGTGACTTCATAAAAAAAAACCTCTAGTCTTTTTTTTTAAGATTTAATTTTAAGTATGTATGGTTGTGTGTGTGCACGTGCATGTACACATATGAGTACAGGTGCCTATGGAGGCCAGAAGTGTCAGATTCCCCTAGGACCGGCCATACAACATGGACACTAGGAATCAAATTTAGGAACTTTGCAAGAGCAATAAGTGCTGTTAACTGCGGAGCCAGATGTCTAACCCCTTAAACCATTTATTTTATGTAAACTACAAACTTTAGGTTGACAGTAAACAGGAACTTTGCCATAACCGGATGAAAAGCAGCTAACTGCTGTGTAGCACGCAGCAGATCATGCAGAGATGACCACAAGCCCTGCCTGGAGCACCTTGACAATGGTGAGAGGCACCGAGTTTCTCTTCTAAAAATTCAGATAGGAAATTTATTTTACATTTGTATTCCTCAGTTTATCCTACAGGTGAGAGACTGCTTCCTAAGCAAATAATTTTGGAGAGAGTCTTAAAATATGTGTTTATCAAAGTGTAGGTGAAGGAGCCTATTGTGAAATTTCATCCTTAGAGGTATTAAATCTAAATGAAATTTGCTCATTTGTTTTTCTTGCTAGCACGTTGAAGCCCCTGGAGAAAAAGAGCTAGTGTCATGCGTTATTGTAGATATAATCATCTCATTCAGCCTAAGTTACTAATGGTTATGACATCTAAACACTTGAGTTGGCTTCTCCTGGAAGCACATTAAGGTCATTCTAGCCCATTATAGCCGTCAGAGCTTTCTCAACCCCGGTGCTATTTTATTGTAAGGAACTGGATTAGCTCCCGGTTGTCAGTGACTCCCACCCTTCCATTTCATACTACGTGAAACTTTGGTTCATAATAGGTTTGTGGAGACTATTAAATGATTCAGCAGCTTCTCTGAAATTAGGCAAGTATTGGTTTTTGGAATTTTGAGGAGAATTTCATAGTTAAAATAAAAACATTAAAACAAGGGTTTCGTGCTCCTTTAGTGGTATGTGAAACCAGGAGCCTAAGTCTTGATGACTGTCTCTTACTTTCTTCCCTGCTATTCCAGACGTGGGCTGATGTCAGGAGCGGAAAATTTCTGCTTCTTCAAGACCTTCAGTTCAGAAGTCTGTGATTTCCAAATTTCCTTAAAACCGTCAGAACTGTCATTATCTATCGGGGCCAGCGAATTCATTTGATGTGGCAAATCCTTTAGAAGTAAGGCTTTTCATCCTCAGTTCTTACTGATGTTTTATACAGTCCTCTTAGTATGTACACATAACTGCCTACAAGCCGTCAAACACTTCTTTCTCTCTCCGTGAAGGATTCCCTGTAACCGAATTAAGTCTGTTTGTTCTCTCTCTCTCTCTCTCTCTCTCTCTCTGGATTTGCTAGACTAGAGAGGTCAATGGTTTTCAACTTCTTGTTAGAAAATCTCAGTTCAGATTTTTCATCCTGAATAAGTCTTAATAATGTCTTTCTTACCTAATCCTCTCTAAATCAAATACGACATAAAGGAAAACGACCTTTCTTCTTCTTGAATTTTGATTTATTTCTAAGTAACTTCAGTCTGATAACAGGGCTGACTACATACATTCTTTCATTTTAGACAAAGCCTAAAATAAAATAAAATAAAAATATCATTTCAGTGGGCTGGATTAATGGCTCACAAGTTAAGAACTCTTGTTACTCTTACAAAGGACTGCTCACAACCTTCTGTTATTTCAGCTACAGAGGATTTGATGGGCTCTTCTGGCCTCTGCAACTGCAGGCATGCAGACTCTGCATATACAAATGTGCAGGCATGCAAAACTCAAGCATGTGATTCTTAAAAGAATGCAGCAACAAACAAAATCAGACCAATTAGGTGTGGTGGAGTATCAGCAGTAGGAGGCAAGCAGATGTCTGTGAGTTCAAGGCTAGCCTGGTTTACAGAGTGAATTCCAGGCAGTCAGAGTCACCTAGTATGATCCTTTCTAACAAGGGCAACAATAATGAAAAAGCAAATTTCAGTAGTAGTCTCTAATGTGATTTTGGGGCAAAGAAACAATTTTAATTATTTTATAGTTTCAGGAAAAGATGCAGAAATGCTAGCAAATGTAGAAAATTAACTTCTAGCAAATGGATTCAGTTGATTTTTATTGAAAGAAAACTAGAAAACTATGAGAATGGCAATATCCAATCACGTTTCCTCAAAGATAATCTAGAAAATCATGAGAATGGTATTATCCAATCACGTTTCATCAAAGATAATGTTGTTTTTATAATCTGGATATTATTCATTTTGTTTTTGGTTTCTCAAGACAGGGTTTCTCTGTGTTGCCCTGGGTGTCTTGCTCTGTAGACAAGGCTGGCCTCGAACACAGAGATCTACCTGCCTCTGTGGCCTCAGTGCTGGGATTCAAGACGTGTGTCACCAAATCTTCATATTTGTATACACCAAAGTTCTCATTGCTTAAAAATAGTTAAAATTAATTCATTTACTTGTATATAGGGGCATAAATGTGATGCTCAGAGGACAATTTATGAAAGTAGGTTCTCTTCTCCCAACATGTGGGTCCCTGGGATTGGACTCAGGCTTTTGGGCTTGTTAGCAAGTACCTTCACCCACTGAATTATCTCACTGGCTCTCGTTGTCTTTGTTTTTTAAAGACTGAAAATGGAGAGGTCAAAAAACATTACCAGCTAGTATGGGAATGAACTGATACACTACTTCATCTCTGCGTGAATATTCTTTATTCCAAGAACATATCTGTAGTTCTATACTGACATTTGGGACTTGCTTCCTCTATTATAGAAGAATTAAAAGGAAGTAATTAAATGTATTTATGAGGAAATTTTTTATCACATTTATTGTGTGTGTGTGTCTGTCTGTCTGCCTGTGTGTGCATGCGCACACGCTCATGTCATGGCACAGGTGTGGAAGTGAAAGGACAACTTGTGAGAGGTGGTTCTCTCCTTCTACCATGTAGCCCCTGGAGATTAAAATCATGCCATTAGGCTTGGTGGTAAGAATCTTTTCCAGCTGATCCATCTTGCTGGCCTAGACCAGAAATAAAGTTTCTGTCCTTCATTTACTTTAGCATCATTCAACTGTAAAACCCTTCCCTGGGGATGAGGCTCTTGTTTCCAGCAAAAATGAAGCAAAGTGCTAGCTAGCTTCCCTGGTTTTTATCTCACTCAAGG